GTGTATCCCTTCTTGTTATTTTTCCAACGATTTTACACAAGTCCAAGTTCTGATTGGTAGAGCTGGTGTATTCTTTATAAACTTCAGTCTCCCAGACCTGCGGTCTCGGCTCGCTAACATGAAGTGAAGATGTCAGAATAATAACCCTTATTCCTGTCTCTTATACACATCTAGATGTGTATAAGAGACAGTGGAACATTCAGCTTAAAGAAAATAACTATCACAACAGCTGATAATCAAAATGTTGCCAGCTGATTAAATATTAATGTTACTCACTGATGGGCTAGCAAATCACCCCAGTTTGATATTTTATACTCTGTGAAGATAAATACTTCCCAAACAGTCAACCTGGCAAGGCAGCCACGTTTGCGTGAACCAGGTACTGGATTGGATTCAATGGTCGAGTCATCAGGAAGGTTATGATAATTGTGGTCATCATTTTGCTGCAATATTTTTTAAGAAATAAAATGGATTAGTTTAGCATTCATTTTTAAAAAATCTGTCATTCAACCAAAAACTAAATATCTTTAGCTAAATATTCTGTAAATATTATAATTATAATGGCAAATAACCAATGACAAACTACAATCAGCAAAATAAGTTGTAAGAAATAACATTCATCATCAAATTGCTAATTGCATTTAGTTGCTGAATATATATTACATATTTCATAATTTACTATAAAATTTACTGTGAATACTAAATGCATCTAATAACATTGAATTAATGGAGAAATGAAGAGGGATGAACAGAGAAATGGATGAAAGGATGAAGGAATGGTAGAACAATTAAATGACTAGAAGATTGAACAATTGAACAAATTAACAATTAAACAAAAGAGCTGTGCAGCCCAGTATCTGTATCAGCTAAAATTTGGTACTCATGATGCACTACTATAATTAGTGACAATATACTTTACATCAAAAGCGGCAACAAAGTTTGAACATTGGGTGGGCCCAGTAAATACATAGCGAGAGAATGAGAAACTGAGGCTGGGGCCTGGGGTCCCACCAAGGAAACAAAATGATGACAATAACAATCATCATAATAGTTTATAGCATGTTCATCTAAAAAAAAACACAGTAGAAGAAATATACTGTATAAGAACATGATGTATGTTTCTCATTAACCTTCTTATCCTTACGCCAGTAGCCTCTGCCGAACTCGCATTCCATGTACGTGATCTTGACCACTATGAACGGTGTGTAATCAAACTTCATCTTCGGCTCCCAACTCCGAACAAACACTGGTTGAATGTTCTTCTTCCATATTCCAGATTTGTCCCGTTTGGAATTTGAAGTTCTAATGAAATTATATTAGTAAAAAGATATCTAGTGAATTTTGTACTTAAAATTAAACATACTTTTAAATTGAAGTTTCTTTTTAGGTTTAGAATTTGGTTTTAAAACAAACTTAACTAAGAGCACATAGAAAAAAAAAACTTAGATTAGATCACTCCCGCCCACATCAAAAATTTGGGAAATATTGATGCGGGAATAAAAAAAAAAACAATTTTTTTGCCGCGTCATTTATTTCAACAGCATAAAAAAAAACAATTTTGTTACCGAAAATACATTCACTTTAAAAAACAATAAACATTTTTATGGAATATTTACATTATTCTTGCCAAATAAAAACAGTCCCTCCCTCATCAGTTCAAAAAAAGCACTATTCCATTCCGATATTCCGATAAAAAAAAAACCTGCCCGTCCTCATCACATTTTTTGTTTTAAGAAGAGTGATAATCCAAGAATTTTTTTCATGTGCCCTAAAAACCTATGCCACAGACAGTAGAGAACTGTATGTGGGTTTAGTGTATCCCTTCTTGTTATTTTTCCAACGATTTTACACAAGTCCAAGTTCTGATTGGTAGAGCTGGTGTATTCTTTATAAACTTCAGTCTCCCAGACCTGCGGTCTCGGCTCGCTAACATGAAGTGAAGATGTCAGAATAATAACCCTTATTCAGGGAACCTCTTTCGCCTTCATTCGTAGCAGCACTGTACTACAAATGGGTACTGTATACTGAATTTTAACGTACAGTCATAAATAGGCTTATTATTCTTAAATTCTAGTATACCTCACGCTATATGACGATGTAGTGGCACGTTTATGGGCCTCCAAAATCGATTCCAGTTCATCAGGACCATTAACGAAGCCGCGTATGTAACTGTTGTTGTCCCCGAATATTTCAGGATTCTGCAACAAGCTTATCCACACCCTGTCGCTATTCTCAATCAGTTTAAAAGGAACAAGATTTCCAGATGAATTTGAAATAACAATGTTGCTGAAAATACCATCAGAAATTAACTGTTCTTTGCTCATTGAAACTTCGTTGGCCTCAATTATAACATCAGTGGCCGCCATGTTTACAGTTCTTTTCACAATGGTTAAGAAGTAAAAAGCGACAAAATATAGCGCCCTCTATAATGTCTGCATTACAAATCCCTCTAATTAATATTTCAATATTATTGACAGGCCTAATTCACCTAACTAAAATGCCATTACTATTTAATTAAGGAAGCTCTTGTTATTTATCTCCTTAATTCTAAATTAAAGATGTATTGTCTCCTAAAAATAACAAAACAATTATTTAAAAAAATAATAACAATTAAATTAACTTGTTCATTTTGCAGTAGGCCTAACATACAAATTATTGACATGAAACCATTAGGATGTGCACTGGGTTTAAGTACAACTTGAATGTCACTCCAAAAGTTGACAAGGCCATTTTATTCTACGTTTCGCTTTTATAGCATCATCAGGAATAATATTATATAAAGAGGCAAACTATATACAATACATGGCAATTATTTAAATGGGGCATTATCCAATCGGAGAAAAGTGGTGTCGATGGCGAGAAAGTGTATTGAGAATAAACACTGAGACGATTGACTAACAAATGCAGATTAGGGCAAGTTATCAGTGTGAAAACCAGGTTTAAGCATGGACATATTAATAAGTATATAAAAATAAAAGTATATAAAATAAAACAAATAATCAATAACCTACTAGAGAATTTAAAATGTTTAGGCCCCCTCCCTGATTTTTTTAAATATTGGAATGATGAAAATTGTAACAACACTTCCAGCTGTAAAATTATGAGTTAAGGTTCGAGTCCCGCCAGAGGCATTTTATTACACAATTTCTTTATTCATTTATTTACAGGACTACATTCGTTGAGAGCTATGCTACACGATGTATTTATTAAGTCCTTTATTCGAACACTGTATTTACCTTTCTTTGATGATTTATATATATATATATATGATAAGGATGTTTAATGCCTATCTATTTGTTTTACATTTCTACAGTTTTTAGAAATAGAGTACCGGGATTACATTAATCCGGCCATTATCAGCTTATTTATGTATCCCAATGTAGGATTGTCAAATGATTGTATTTTTAATGATGAAAGATGTCCATAATTCTGAAACATGCCTAGATATTAGCATTTTTATTACATTATATTGATATTATAAATTGATTCATCACCCCGGGAAAATGTATTAATCTTAGCCCGATCATGAATGAGCATTTCTCCATTAGTTGATGCGAGAATGTGTCACGTGTTCTGTCATAAATGACAACCAACTTGACAGCGGAAATTAACTCTCTTTATATGTACTGTACGTCCTTTCTATGCTGAATAATGAACGATACAATAGACAGCGTCCTCTACACATTCTAAATTCTAAGATGTTCTAATTCTGGTTGTTGATGTCATATTTAGCAACAGATCAAAATACTAAGAAGAGCAATCTCAGCAAAGATAACAGTAACGTATTGTTTTGTTTCTATCGTTTAGGTGTCTTTCAAGAGCAAGTCTGTCTTTCAGTAACAGATGTATTTGAAATGTTATACTGAACTACCATGTAATGAACTGTGCGTTAGCAGATTTATTTGATTTGTCCATTGGCGGAAAACACTGTGTCGATGTCACATTTAAAAAGAAGTGTAAATAAGCCCGCGATGTGCAATGTATTCCTACAGAGCTTGTGTAATCAATGGGCGAGTGTCTATTTTGAGCATGCATCTTAAATAAAGCACTGGACTATAGTATACTGGCAATGATAGGGGTATTTATAATTTTAATCAATTACGTCGCTTGTTTTCTAATACACCGAACACAATCTCAATGTCAGGTTAATTATAATTTATGTATTAACGCGGGAGGTGTTTAGTGATTATTGATAATATGAAGAGCGATATTGCCGCCGAGAGCGTTTTTAAACGTTAGTGCACTTTGACTTCTCGTCAAAGGCTTGTACTTTGCTCCAACAGCATGTGTGTTAAACTATATCAGCAAAGGATTGCAAGAAAATAACAACATTGTGATGATATCAAACTGTGGCTTACACTGTACAAACCTGATTTGCAATATAAATTCACTGTCATTTCATTAGCGTCTCCGAAACATAGAGGTAAGCCTAGTACAGTAGTCTTCGGGAAATATGGATGACGGTGATGTTGAAGGTAGTATTCTTAAGAGTATCTTTCCAATAAGTTACAGCTTCCAGTATCTAGTCCTGGGAACAATCGTAACTGTTTTGAGTGTAACATATGTTGTACGTTACTTAACAGACGGTAAGGCTAGGAAAGAACGCGATGTATTTCGCCATGATAATGATAAATGCTTAATGAATGACAAAGAACAATTTGATATTGACATTTGTAGGGCCGAAAATCAAGCTAAAGCAGAGATGATCAACGAAAATGTGGTCATTCCAAATGAGTTGGATAAATTAACATATGATAGTAATGAGATGGGAGGTGAACCCAGGAAGGAAAACAATTCATCAAATAATGAATATAGAACAATAGTGGACGACGAGAAGTACATAGACCTCTGCCCACAAAATGACACCGACTCAAAAAAAGGCAAACGGAAATCAATAGTAAATAATGCAAATATAGATAAATCAATAACACTTCACTTGATTGAAGAGGAAGTCGTGGATGTCCATCCTGTAAAAGAAACCCCGGCCGTCGATTGCACTGAATCCAACTCAATCATAAGTGAGGAATCGATAGGTAATTTTCGTTCATTTGGTGTTAGCGAAATTGCAACCGGGATCGATATAACGTTGGCAAAGACTGACACAAATGTGTACCGGCGTGTTTATAATGAATTAGAAAATTCGGCTGAAAATTTGTCTCGTGATAAAGGGAATAGCTACTTAGCAAATGAGCTCAGTTTAATTGCAGACGTAAATGAAATACAGCGAAATGAGGAACTACATATCAAACCGTCCAATGTAAAAAATGAGATTTTATCAAGCCGACAATGTATACCAACAGTAGTCATATCGGAACCTTCCGATGCTGTAGATAGAAATCATAATATTGAATATAAAGCTACGGTAAAGAGACACCAACCTGAGGTGAGTGGGCAAGAACCTTTGAGACTAGATTTAGATCTTAATCATGTCTTCAATGAAGAGGTCGATTTGGATCAATTTAATGGAACCGTAGAGGCACCAACAATACCCTCAGCAACAACAGGTAATATGGCAACTCCTGAAGATATCGCTTGTTTCTACCAAGACGAGGAGCAAACATTACCTGGTGCCCCTTTGAGAAACAATTTATCTAGTAAGGACGCTTTTTTGGGAAGGATCACTGAAACGTCCTTTGTGGCGGTGATTCCTAATTCACTAAATTTGGCAGCAGATAATCCGGATATGCCTCATGGAATTAGTGGAACCAAGCACGAGAACGATGGTTTTCCAAAATACAATGCTGAACCTACTAAAGGTACTAATCATGTAGACTGTTATGGTGACGTAACCGATAATACAGAAACTGAAAATGTTCAGGAATATTATGAGGAGGACGAAGATGAAGAAGAAAATGAGGAAGAAGATGATGAAGATTCTGATGAAGATTCTGATGAATCTGGTGGACTGGAAACAATCGAAGAAGTCTCTGAAGAAGAATTTGATTCGTCTATTGACGACATTGCGTCAATAGACGACACTTGTGAAATACAGGATAATGAAGCAGCCATATTTGATGACCTCACGGAAAATACACGTGAGTTATATAATATGTCACTTTTACTAACAAATTGATTGATTCACTTGGTTCATTATTTTTATAGGCCTAACAATGATGCTCTTCATGTGTTCTCAATGCAAAAGCAAATTGTATTATCCGGCAATGCATGAAGTTAGACAAGACAAGAACACAGATAGAAGATTAATTTAAAATGTTTGTTATATGCTCGGTTTAAACTCACAGGGCTGTGGGCTCATTTTCTCTATTACCAGGCCTTTATGATGACGACTTAACACCTCCTGTTAGCCATATAAATAACATAATGAGATTCTGAGTACAGGTACGTACGACAATATTGTCGTAAAGGTAGGGAAAACAAACACGATATGCTAATACCGATAACAATATCCTACTGAAACGGCCTACTTAGTCTTAGTCTAAACTAATTCTAAATCTCACAGTAAACTATTATTTATTTACATGGCGAACTTCATCAAGGTCCGATTGAATATACATAGCACTAATAATGCTTTTTCAAACACTGTACGAAGTCCAGAGGTTACAACATAAAAGATGAGTATACGGTTATCGACATTCAAAATTGAATTTTAAAAATTATTGTCTGAATATAAACAAATAAATAGAAATTATATGGGTTTTTACACATGCTTTAAAATTACACTATATAGGAGGAAGGACTAGTGTGGACCGAAAGCCCTGGTTCTATTTCTGGCTGTTTACTTAGGCCTATGTTTACTTTGTAGCTGTTGTTTATCAAATTTGTATTTCTACCGAGATCCAGCCGTTGACTCCCACCCATATATCTATATAAAGAGGAACTCCAAGTTATCTTAACTATTTAGGTGGGTACAACATTTATTAGGCCTCGACGCACAGAGATCAAATTTTCATAGAATTTTAACGACAAGACGGGACCTATGAAGAACAACTATATATAAATGGTATAGAGAAGTGGAATCAGCAACTGTAAAAAAATCACCCAACTGAGATTCAAGTTTCCAACTGTAAGCCTCAGAATACACACCCTTAACTAACTATGGCTTTCTTGAGATTAGAGGCAATTGATTTTGTGCCAGCCCAGCATTGTACCCGACGCACACATGTGAAACAGAGATTAATGTGATAGGCCCTACGCCTTTTCTGAAGCCTTTCAAAATGCAATATACGGGATCTGTAAAGATATGATAACATACTTTGGCCTAAGCCATATTTAGGTAAAAGGATAAACTCTACACCGCCTTGCGGTAATGCTTTTAGGTATGACTATGTAAATTGTAGTAAAGTAGAGGAATCCTCTATAACTCGACGTTTTTTAATAAAATACAAAAGAAACAGAAAATGATGAATAAAGGAGGGAACTCAACAAAAGAGACTAGAAAAATAACTCAGCATCCACAAAAATATGAGCACTATTTTCTTTAGACATGCTATAAGAATAATAAAAAAAAAAAAAAAAACCTTCCCTCTGACATTTGATCTACAGTAGCACTCAACCACCTAACGCAGAATAGTTTTGAACGCATTTTATTATAAAATACACGCATCCACAACTCACCTGTACCCGAATTACTTAAATTTGTTATATTTGTATTAAGTAAACGAAAAAGATCATGTAATCGTTGGCAATATTTAATGTTGAAATCTGTAAAGACAGCACTGCAAAAAACAGGTGAGATGATGATCATTTACATGCAGTCGCTATGCCCTGGCCTCCTGCAAAGTCTACATCATTGTCAGTAAATTCAAATTGAAATGTATGGCTTTAACGCAATACTAATGTATTATGCGAATGTGATACATTTCGAAGGATATGTTACCGCGTGCTCGACAGTTTTAGTGTCTATCATGTATAATTTATATTGCATTCAACAGCTTGATTTATGTAGGTTCGCGGGGGCGCGGCGACGGGGTGCGACAGTGGGGACTTCAATTAATGATATTATACACATCTCATGCACAATATATTCTAGTGGATAGTGTATGCATAGAGAAAATAGAATATTTTCTCTATGGTGTATGTAATTGAAGCTGCTACCTACTCACGTCTATACGAGAGATGATTAGTAAGATACATTAGATGAAGCAAGTAAGATGAACGCTGACTCCAAATTTTAAATTATAAATTTAGAGATAGCCATTTTAACTTGAGAATATATCATGTGAAGTAGGAAAAATTTGTAATGGTGAAGACATTGTACATGCTTTTTACATAAAAACTGTATGTAAAAAGTATGTACGTATGTGATTCGCATAACACCCGTTCTCCCACGCAAATTTAAAAGAAATTGACTTGAGTATCAGTTTGCCCGTGAGCCTAATGCTTCTGAACCACGTTATGCTAACGTTCATGTCATGGTAATAGCTATCGTCGTCATTTGAAGGACGTTCTTCGTCATTTTACCACGATCAATACCGGTACATGATTTTCTAACATATTAAAAAAAGAAATCTACTCAATATTTTGCTTTTTATACAGATTATTCTTTATGTTATTTTCCAAATAGAAGTACCTTCTCAGAGTGCTGTGTTCGGTATAACATTACCAGTGTGGTTCTGTTGAATGAGGGTAGGCCTATAGAGTTTCAACATGAGCATGAAAACAATTGTACAAAAAAACGCTCTTGAATAAGAACATCGGTGTGGCTAAGCCAAGTTATTAATATTACTTATAATTGTTATTATTATTATTATCATCATAATCATCACCATTATTATTATTATTATTATTATTATTATTATTATTATTATTATTATTATTATTATTATTATTATTACTTACGGTACTTATATCTAAGATTCTAAGGTATCTAAGAAAAGCCCAGTCTGGAATTGTCAAGGTGTAGTTTGAATTTCCGACCACTATTTCAATAACCAGTTTGTAAACGTCTGCCCCAAACCGCCTTTGGCCTATTAATATGAATATTATTATAATTATTATGTTTTCAATTATTATTATTATTATTATTATTATTATTATTATTATTATTATTATTATTATTATTATTATTTATTTATTTATTTATTTATTTAACCACCTTAATACTGGAAATGACCTACAATTATAAAAAAAATATATATATAAGTGTAGCAGCACTGAAGCGTTTGAGGGTAAATCCTCCTCGCCAGTATAACGAGTTTTATGTAACAATGATTCAACCAATAACATATTGCGTTTCAGGATATTTTGATTAATCTGAATCTCATTATATGTTTAATGGAATTACCATATTACTACTTTAAACTTCCAGGATGTTTCTTTACGCGTTTCTGTATGCCTACATCCGTAATAGCTTCATTCTGTATTTCATTAAGTTCCTTATCATTTATATTATCGAAATAACGCTCAGATGGCTTACCCCTCGGTCAGTTACCCAACGTTAACATAAAATGTTATGAATAAATTGAACAAAACCGTGTCGTACATCTGAATTTATAGAGGTGCGTTGTTCAGTTACCTGCATGTAAAAATTGTCTCTAGGTTAGTATAACGCTAAATCTCTCGCTTCACACGAACGCTACTTGTTCGACATGTCCGCTAAGCCATGCAAGCCTAATTGTTAAGAATCACGAATGAGAATGAGTATACATGTTTCAATACGGTTTTGTTTTTTTTTTCTCTAGATCAGCCCTATAATAAACGACCAGCGAACCAGGAATACGTACCCATAGGGAGCTCGTGGGCCTATTCCGCGTCTAGCTGACATACCTCGGAATTTGTCGCAACAATCAATTTCTTTATAAAAATAAATAAAAAATAAATAAAATAGAAAAAAAAATAATAATAAAGAATGATCTAAATATAGTTCAATAAAATGTAAAAATCAATAGTAGCCGCTTGTAATTTCTTCCAAATGAGGACGTATCAAAAATATTCTCGAACACAAACTGTTCTCACATGGACTATCAGGCCTCTATATTCTATATAAATCTTTAATACCATAATGGTTTTACCACAATATTGGTGAAGAGGTGATACATTTGTGTAAGTAATTATTGCTGATGATGGTTCACATTCGCCACTGAAATATCGCTTACTAATAAGGATAGTTACCATGGCAATTTTTACTGTTTACATCAGTCCAGCTCGCAGTATATTTTGCACCTGCGCGTACGGTGGAATCAGTTGGCTTTGGATAGGCCTACTGTAATTTATTTCCAGTAACGGTTATTGCTTTTAAATTATTATATCATAATCTAGAATATAAAACACGTGGATGTATTGAATCAATTTAACATGACCGGCTTGATGAGGCCTGTTGTTCTGTTTCGCTTGTCACGTGAACGTATTGGTTGTAAAGGTAAATTCTATTCAGTTTTGATTATCCTCATGCTCGAGCTACTTATCTGGTTGAAGACCTCGTGGGAGATTTTAGGCCAAAGTTTAATATTGTCATCGTTGTGTATTATGCCTGCCAGTGGTTTATTAATCAAATACAACGTTGAGTGCTTAATAGAGAAACATTTAGGAATGTTTAATTGTCGATAACTTGGTTGAGCCTGCAGCTGGTTTATGATTGCTTATGATAATATATAGAAAATAATGATGCAAAAACTACAATTAGTAGAACACAGTGTTCTACTGTCTAACGCAATGTTTTTGCATCGTTATTTTCTGTTTTATTATTTGAACACAGGTGGACCAATATATATAACATATAAATATATATATATAATACATATATATATATATATATTATATATTATAGATAATCAACTTAGTAAATCGATGCGTAGCACTGTGATATTAGGCCTATATAAATAGGTAAATTATAGAAACAGTTTTTACATTAAGAAATAGGGCCTACAATTTCCGCTGCGACTTGCCAGACTTGCAACCTCAACAATAGCGTGGTCGTGAATAAATTACAGGATAAAGGTATACAATGACAATGTGCAATATTGTTGGGCTACCAATAACTACATCAACATAATTATTATCACCACATGTTGTATTATTTGTTGGTAGAACTGATATTAGCAGTTCTATTTTGTTGTTACCACTTCCAACTTCCATTGTACTAATAGAAATTAAGCCAAACAGTCATAATTCGCAAATAGAGATAATATAATCCTCGTTAAAAACTAAGATATCTTTATATTTAAAAACTAGATACACTATCTTAGTTTTGAACTAATATAACTTTGTTAGAAATATCTCATTAGCAGAGATATCCAAAGAGAAATTTTTAAAAAGAGATATATTCTAAATTGTCCGAAAAATTAAATCTACTATTATTAGTTACTATAGTATTTAATATATATTAGGCTTATGTACTTTATTTTATTCAATTAAATTTTATATATATTGTGATTCTTAATGTTTTTAAGTAATTAATATTTTGATGTTATCATGTAAATATCTTGTAATTCAGCATTGGAAAGGGCTGTGAGTTTGATAATAATAAAAGAACTTGAAACATATATATTTATAGGCCTATATACCGTATATATAACGTACAATAGATTTTTTTTTAATATAGAACACAGCATTAGTGCTATTTTTTATAGATGGGCCTTATACATATCGAGATTAATTATTCAATGGTGACTGCGATCATCATAAAGTATCCTTATTCTGATTTACATAATAATAATCTTGTTTAGCATAATGACCCTGACTAAAATAATTACCTCAATACATGCTAAGTCATGTTTATTGTGATTATGATGATGCTATGAGAATGCCACTAAGGAAAATAGACTTCACATTTGAGAAATTACGAAATATATCATACTATTTATCACATATTTATGGCCTAATACGAAATATATCATAAGGCCTATAATACGAAATATACTATAAAGGATTTTTATCCTGATTTACATAATAACCTTGTTTAGCATAATGACCCTAATTAAAATAATTACCTCAATACATGCTTAGTCGTGTTTATTGTGATTATGATGATGCTATGATGATGCCACTGAGGAAAATCGATAACACGTTTGAGAAAATATGAAATATATGAGCAATGATCAAACACAGCGTTCGCAAACAAAGTATGCAAACACGATGTACAAACGTTGTTCTGTAATCAGCTTACGACTGTGACACATCCCTATTCTAAATGTACCGGGATAAGAGGCAGTGCCAGTGTAGTTTAAGATTGCAGTAAGAAGCTGCTGACGGGGTTGCTGAATGAATAGGCGACAGTTGGAAAACCGTACGAGTACGATTTCATTTAGTTAAGCACAACAAACACACGAATACATGATTATAATATAAGTCCATATGTGTGTATATATGTATGTATATATAACATGTGTATGTACGGTATGTAGGCCTATATATATTAGGTTTATATATATATATATATGTATATACATATATGTATACATATATATAGATATACATATACATATACATATATATATATATATATATATAATCTAGATGTGTATAAGAGACAGGAA